TATGTGTGTGTTATACATCTAAAATTCTATCTAATTTTTATATTTTATAAGAAGTAATAAATAAAATGAGTTGTTTTAAATATATTTTGTTATACCCATTATTGATGATAAATAATATATGTCATGTAATAAGTTTTAGGGGGTGTGGGGGGAAAAGCCCCCCACATCTTATATTGATATTAAAAATATTTTGCACCTAGTGAGCTACATCTTTGCGGGCGTGCCTGCATAAGCGTGAAATTAATGAACTAAACTATATGGTTGTAACTATAGTACATAGTAGCAAATACTAACTTAGACTAATTCCAATTTTCAAACATCGATCATAATGTGACATATATTATATATACCGTAATACCGTAGACATTTCAGAGAAAAACGTCGATAACATTGATAACGTCCGTGCCGATTAAATTTAAATTTATGTTATTACTTTATTAGATTAGCTTATAAATTTATTACGACTTGTGGCATTTCGGTATTTTCGGAATTTAATAGAAATAGAAAAAAAGAGTAAATTGCTGCCAATATAAAAAAAGTGAGAGTACAAAAATTTTAAGAGCTTATAAGAGTACATGTACTCTTAAAAGAGTACTAATGGTAACCCTAGTTTCAAGCGTGTTTAAAAATTCCAAAAACAATTTAAGCATAAAAATAGGATGAACATGCTTAAAAAATCATCCTATAAGTTTACTTGACACGAATTGCAGCAACTTATTTATATATATTATATTCATGGTTGCTAATCACCAATATTGTTACCTATACGTATATATATTTTAAATTATTATAATCGTGGGTGCTGAACATAGGCTTAAATACTCTTTAAATGTATATGACATATCAAAGTTGTTAGTTGTGTTACCTACCTAATGAAAATTATTAAAAAATTTGTTTGTTTAATAACTAAAGCAATAGATACATTATTATTATAGGATTATAAATTATAATAGATAATAAGAGCGGCATAAGTAGTAGGTTTGACCAAATAAGAACATTTTGGTAAAAATAAAATAAAAATCCTATATTTTACCTTTATCATATTAAATGTCAAAACGAAATAGAAAATTAATAATTATGATAAAGGGGATACATTTCACAATAGGTATATTTTTACAAAATTTTTATATGGCAGTTATATAGCATGCAAGCCCAGTACATTACCTATAGTACAATGAAGTTAATAATATTGCATCATTATATTTATTATTAAACAGTTATTACATATTTTTTAGGGAAATGTGTTTGAGCCTGAAAATCGTTAAAGCAACAATACAGTACTTTCAACATTTTGCAACATACTAAAGTTTTGGAATATTTGTTTTAATCATAAACATAGTTACCTAATGCTTCAATAAACAGTACAATAAATGTGTATAGGTAAAATATAGAAATGGTCTGCAGTTTTAATACATTTAAATATGTCATGTAGTTGTGAAATGTAGGTAGGTAATGAAATTTATATTTTTTTAAATATTTGGTTAATGTCATACATATTTCTATCAAAAAAACTGTGTTTATATAATTTTTAGACATTTTTTTTATTGTACTATGAAATACTTATGAGAAATCTTGCATTAAATATTAAATCCTTAGTTATACAATAATTGAGCATTTTATAAATGTTTATATTTATTATATATATATATCTATTAAATGTCTTAATCATTATTGACAAATAAATTCAAATCATGGATATTTTAATAGCCTTTAACTATTAATATTTATTGTAAATAGTTTTTTTTTCTTATTTTATACTATAAATACTGGTACATCAATGGTAACAGGAACATTAATAATTTGTCCATGTTCCAAATTGTCTTTGAACATGCCTCAATCTTCTTATTTGCATGAAAATAATTTCAGGAGAAATAAACCTTCTTTCAGCGATAAAATATATTTTTGGCTAATGCTGTGGTATTTCCAGATAATGAAATTCATTACTAACATTGAAATTAGGGATTTATTTTAATCTAATGCAGATTTACATGTAGAGCAAATATTAAGTATATCCATGTTTTGCCTTGAGTCTTGCACATTCTGTAAGAATAGACAAAAAGTATATTTTATATAGTGAATTATTATTATTATCTTGTTATTATATAAGTTTTATTTTATTTTATTATATATATATACATATATACATATATACTTACAGTTATTGTGTTTATTATATTTGCATTAGCATGTGGTTTCTTCAAATCTTTTTCAAACTCCTAAAGTCGATTGCAAATTGAACAAGCATGTCTAAATTGATTATTTTAAATATTATAGTTAACATATTTGTAAGTGATATTTTTACATATAAATTTACTTTAGTTATTCAAAATTAGTGCTTCAATTGCAATTGCTTGACCTCTTTCATTTCTGAAATTATTATAACATCATAAAAAGTACATTAATAATATAATATTTGCTGTGGATAGAATAAAAATAAAATTTGTACCGCTCAGTTATTTCAACATATAGATTCTGTGTGTCTTTCAAACCAGCAACACTACTAAACACTTCGAAAATGTGTACTTATTTAATCATCTATTATTGCTTCACAAATTAATGCTATATTATAGTCTATGTTAGAAGAGGTAGATGATTCTGCAATAATTTTCCTTCTTTCCGCTTCACGCTGCTTCAGTTTTTCTCTGTTCTGCTTCCTGTATCTTTCTTGGCGTTCTTTTTTTTTTTGAATAGCATTCTTTTTTGCTGCTCTAAAAATGTAAAAATATAAACAAAAAGGAATAAAAAAAGTAAAAATACATTATTAGTGTGATGCTCATTAATGAAATATGTACCGCTCATTTTCTTGGACAGATGATGTTTGTGTTCCTTCCAAACTAGATGAACTTTGAGAATTACGATCTGTTATTTTTTTATTATTTGATTCTATTCTATTTATGTTTGAAGAGGTAGATAATTCTGTAATAATTTCTGAATTTTGTTGACGTTGCCTCCTTTCTGCTTCACGCTTCTTCAGTTTTTCTCTGTTTTGTTTCCTGTATCTTTCTTGGCGTTCTTTTTTTTTTTGAATAGCATTCTTTTTTGCTGCTCTAAAAAAGTAAAAATGTATTATTTGTATAATGATAATTAATGAAATATGTACTGCTCATATTTTTGAACAAATGATGTTTGTGTTCCTTCCAAACCAGATAAACTTTTAGAGTTAGCATCTGTTATATCTTTATTATTTGATTCCACTCCATTAATGTTTGAAGAGGAACATAATTCTGCAATAATTTCTGAATTTTGTTGACATTGCTTCCTTTCCGTTTCACGCTTCTTTAGTTTTTCTCTGTTGTGCTCTCTGTATCTTTGTTGACGTTTCTTTTTCATATCATTTACTCTAAAAATATAAATGAGTCAAAGAAAACTAAAATATATTTTAGTATAATTAAATATTTTCAGATGAATGAAAATAGTAGAAAAAACTACTAGTACAATAAGAATATTTTTTGACCACTGTGATGATTATTGAAAGTTGGGTATTGCAATGTAAGGTAATCATAGATGTATGATAAATTAAACGCGTATTGGGTGCACTAATGAACTGTCTCATTGCCTTATTGGTATCAATAAGATTAAAACTATAGACAGTACATACATCAGGATTCAATTCATCTGCACATTAACTGTTTATCTTATGAGTATTAATAATAATCCTAAAAATTGGTAAGTTAGATAGTGGCTCAGAAGGTTATGAATCTCATAGCAAAGACCACGACCGTATGAATTTTTTTTATACATTTTAACAACCAAATCAGCTGTAGTAAGTTAACTCTTTAAAATAGTGGTGTTAACATATGGGTAATGATGTAGTTGTAACTATACTTTTTATGAAGTTAATTTGAAACAAAATTACTAGTTATTTTACTTCACTAGCAGAAAACAAGCAAGATACTAGATTGGCTGTATTACCTAACGCATCAAAACAAATTGTTACTGTTAACTACACAACATAGTTAAATCAACACCTCTAGGGACCTCAGTGAAATTTAACGCTCAAATGCGTATGGAATCGACTAACAAAGTACTCAAAATAGTTTTAGGTACACATGAATTTATTATAAAAATATAATTAACTTACTCTTGACTTGAATCACTTGATTGTGTGTCATAGTGTAATTTTACTTTCTTTGCAAGAGTCTGCTTACCGTCACTCATATTTTTTTTACATTTATTAGTTTAAAATAAAAAAAAAACTTAGGCAACGAGTTTCGAATCCGAAGTGAGCAACATCACTGCTAGCAAGTGAAGAAAGATTGACTGCTAAAATGTATTATTAGTCATATATTTTGTAAATTATTCTTCTTACAATGGAAGTAAGGACCGTAGCTGCTGTATAGTTCATATTGCATATGGGAATTCCGAATACGAGATCCTCAGCGCGGTGCATATAGATAATAAAAACACTGATAGGACCACAGAATGTGATATCGCAGGATAATTGATTCTACGTTTGTTCTGTGATTCTATTATAGAACGGTAGATAACAGTTGTTATCGTACGCAATGATAATACAATCATTTTACACTGGAATGGTCATAGTCGCAGAGTTACGAGCTTTTAGCGCCAACAGCAGTTCTGAGGTCTGAGTGTCTGACTCCCGCATTTGAGATGTTCCATACACAATGTAAAGTATACTTACTAATGTAAATAGTAAATATCTACGTAATAATACTTTGATAAGTAACATTAAATAATAAATAACAATTTCGTGATCGAAGAAAATATTTGACTTCCAATATTGTTAACTGGTGTTATTTCTATAGGACTGTATATTATTATTATGTATTAATTGTAATTTCAACTAATTTGTACACCTATAATATGTTATAATCATTTTAACTCTATAATAGTACTATGGCAGTAATCCCATTTACTTGTTTTCTTGAACACAATATTTCAAAAATAAATATTTATTAATAAACTATTGAACTAAAACAAATTTACCTAACAAGTAATTGTAATAAGTCCTTCTATAAACTTTATAAATATATACTTTATTAATGAGCTTAATGTTCATAAATAAATCTAATAAGCAATAACAATGTAACAATCAAATAAAAACTATTAGGTACATTTTAAGAATTTGCTCAATAATTAATAAAAACTCCTACTTTAGGTTAGATCAATATGTTACCCGTATCACATTTTTGTGTAAAAGTCCCGATACTCAGGTTCTAGAGTCTAGACTCTAGCATATAATTGTCTTGTGAATAATTATTATCATCGATGAGTAAAAAACTATAACACTATTAAATAAAAATTGTTTAAAAAAAATTCATTTATAATACCTAAATATAGGTTGGTAAATAAAAATTAGACATTCAAAGGGTTATTGAAATAAAAATTAACATTTTAATATTTATACGGATCATATTGTTGAACATAATATAAGTATATTACCTACTGAAAAAGAATTTATTTAAATAAAATATTTTGAATATTGCCATATCAAATTTTAATAAACAATTTATAAAACGCAGACCGCTCTGATATGAAAAGTTGAGACTGATCAATGACATTTATTGGTTATAACTTATAACTTATAATAACTACATTATGATATAAATGGTCATAAAAGAATTTGGAATCTTCAATAAACACGATTGATTAAAGAAAGAAATAGAATAAAGTTTAACAAATAACAATTAATAATATTATTAATATAAAGCAACTAAAATTTTTTTTTGGTTTCGGGAGCTTTACAGGATCTATTAATTTATTACAATTATTTATTATTTAAATAAAAGTCTGTTTAAAATATCACTGTACTCTACAAACTGTAAATTAGCTTAGGTAAGAAATTAATTTTTTTTCGATAAATCGACTTTAACACAAAATGTATAAAATGGAATACTGATATAAATTATTATTAGTAAGAGATGAAAATTAAAACTTTGAAGTAATACAATCTATAAAATATTAGTTGTGAATTATAGTTATGAATACTTCGCAGGTGCCATAAACTTTTTTATAATCTTATTAGTTATTATATTTTATATAAAACTTACAAATTGCAACACTTAGGTATTGGTAAATTATTAATTAATATTTGATACTAGTCTACATAGTGATATTGATTATATCAAATGTATTAGGAGTCAAGGAATTAATATAATTATAAACATGTCTCTTAAACTTTGAAGTCTATTAATAAACATTTTCTATCACATTATTATGCTGTTGAATTTTTGTTATTTGAGTATCAGCCAATATTGATAAATATGAGTTGAACAAGGTTTTTAAAAAGTAGTTTATTCAGTAACAAAAACAATTGAAAAAATATTGTATGATCACAGTTTTTTTGTAGGTATTTTAAATTTAAATTTGAATAAAATTAGATATTTAAACAAAGAGTCACTTATTTTAGTTATTTTGTTGTAATTTAAAAATATTATTCGTATATAAATTACAATTTAATGATAAATAATTTATAAATCGATTTATAATACAATTTAAGGTTAGGTAATCCCGAAAAAGAGACGGGTTTCATTATTGTATGCTTCGTACAGTTCTCATAATCCTTCTGGATCTAACTGGTAGTTTTGCTAACAATCAATTTAGACTGAACTTTATTTTATTATGTAGGTATTGGTATAATCAAAAATAAAGTAAAATATTTAATACCTATGTTTTGAGTATAGACTACGATAAGAAGTTATCCGGCGTATAGTATAGGCAAAATAGGTACATATTAACAAGGGTTCGGTGAAAAGATGACGTTTGGATTGTTCGCGTATTTATACATTGCTTTTTTTAAAATAAAAATATGTGCATTTACGTTGTATTTTAAGGTACGTACGGTTAAGGGAATGCCCTTGTGTGTGTATAATACTATTTATATAGGTACCTATACATAAGCATACTATTATTTATTCATAAGCATTCACTCGGGGTGGTCGGAGTAGACAGTTGATCACTCCGTGAACATTTTTTTAGGTGTATTAAATTATACGTATCTTTGATAGGTATGGATATTAGAAGGAAAATAAAATTTGGGTAGTTCGAGTAGTATAATTCTATCGTTATAGCGGATTTGTGAAAAATAATTACCAGTTATAAAATATTCGTGACATAATATTTATATCAAGTCAAAAAGTAAATTTAAGCTTCAAAATAATGTGAAAACAAACTTACGTATAAACATCGATTCTTCCGGTGACTCCTATAGATGTGCAATATCTTAAGTGCTGATGTACAGTTCACCGCCTCTAAAGAAATAGCTATCATCCGACTTCATCTCCCTGTGAATTTTAACTTGAAAGTATCGAAATATTTTATGAGGACAACCCGAACAGAACGAAATATGCTAGTACAACTTCATGTTGTATACTAAAGTAATGTTTAATGACCAGCTAGTCTTTTGTTGGATTATTTTATAATCTCAGATGTATGCCGTCGATTAGGATTTCCCATAGGTGTAAGGTATTGTAAAATATGATAAATGTAAACCTCATAGCTTATACTCAATATGTCATCATATGTTTTTTTCACTATACCTATTTAGTAATAATTTACGAAATGACAAGGCTAGACAAGTTCATTAGTTTAATTAAATTAATATAGAAACATGTAAGTGGACATTTTGGATTCCATGTCAACCAAAGTAACTATGCAACGATATTTTAATGAAGTGTGCTAATTTGACACTAAAATTAATTTAAGTCACTTTTAATCGTCTATTCATACGTGTGAAAATTTATAAACATTAATTGTTTGAACGCTGTTATTGTGTTACAAACAAAATTATTTTGATACGCTTCACATTACATTTTATTTCAGTAATGGTACAACTTAAGAGTTATGCAGTGACATGACTTTTGGTTTTAAATTACATTTGTCACTTATTATATAATAATATTTTAACTTGTCATATTATCATATTGTTTTCTTGGATGACTTGTACATAATAGCTGTAATATGTATCAAAATATCTAAGTTCATTGTTCTTAGGTGAATTAATATTCTCAAACTGTAGCGATAACATTTAGGATATGAAAATAGTGTTACACTTTCGACGACTTTAGTAGAGAAGTATAAATGCTACTGTATTGAAGCTTAATAAAATAATAAATTTATATGACATAATTACTGTATATGTAGCATACTGTACTGCTTATTTTAATTTGTGTGTTAAGAGTATAAAAATCTCGATAAAAATCTCGAAACCTATAAATCATAATATTCCGAATGATTCATTAAACTCAACTTCCAAAGTATTTAACTATGTTAAAATGTATGATGTTGGTACAAACAATTTTTTAAAGCTTATTTTTGGGTTTTTTACATTTATAATTAAGATTCTTGTATGATATGAATTACACGATATAATAAAAGTGTATGATGTTGATGGATTTTGGAATGTCATTGGAAACAATATGTTTTCAGTAGCAAATTTCACCACTAGAATATGCCAATGATAATTCTATCTCACTCACTCATTTTTATCTATGTCAGAATGAAAACGTTGATGTATTAATACAAAATAGTGAACTGATTATTTATTATTTGTAAACTATAAAAATATAAAAATGTTTTATGTTAAGTGAGCATACCTATGAGACGACAAGTAGAAAGTATATTCATTCATATCACATTACAATTTTTTTACCATATGTTGACCTCAACAATAATATATATTTGTAGGTACAGTAGAACTTCGATTAACCGCCACTCTCTGTTATCCGTCATCGGTCATCGCCGAAAAAAATAAATAATTAGGCGATTAGACGATTGTCAAATGCTACGCAAGTCTTACTTCTACGTCAAATACGTAATATTTCTGCTAAAAAATCTAGAGAATCAAAAAACCAAACTAAAATTACAGATTTTTTTTTATAATATGTGTGGTATGTATGTTTATAATTTATATGTGTTATAATAATTAATTTATATGTTATATGTAAGTAATTTTTTTTTTAAAGTACACACACGTAAAAAATATAATAAATGTGTGTACATATATGTATGCACACGTTTTTTTTTGCAAAATTTCTGTTAACCGTCTATTCGATTAACCGGCATAGCCCCGGTCCCGACAGTGACGGTTAATCGAAGTTCTACTATACTCATATACTTATAACAGTCTTATAAATGATTTTTTCCAAAAAAATCAGAAAACCATTTCCCAAAAATATCTGATCACTGACCATTTAATTATTTTTTAAAAGTTTTCCCATTAAAAATAAAACTAACACATAAATATACAGACATTGGAATAAATTTACAAATCTAAATATTAGCGAGTTTAAATTGTCTTTATTATATTATTAGTTCGTGTATTACAAAGCAATACGTTGATGCTCGACTACATAGTCAAGCGTAACAGGATCTAAGATTTTATTTCTGAAAACAAACAATGATGTATATAAACGCCAGTGAGTACAATTTAAAATATTTTAAAATAACAAAATTACATTGT